GGGGTGCAGACCTGTCTTCAGCAAGGTGGTCCTTTTTGGACCTCCTTCCTACAAATGAGAAAGCAGGCAGAGGCAAGGCTGCCTCCTCGAGCTGTTTCCCCACCATTACTGTCATTTGTGACATTGGGTGCTTTTGCTCCAGGACTGCAGCCAGCCTCCAGAGTCCTACATTCCGGGAGGGGTCTAATTGTCCAGAACGACAAGACCCCTGTGGTCATCCCTGTGTTTAGGCTCATGGTCATGGAGCCACACCTCACCTGTTGGGATAATGTACCGGCCACTTGTGCCTTCTGGATAGCAGCAAGAATTGGAAAGACCCCATGTGCTCTTGGAGAGTAAGAATAGTAGGGACTGCTCCCCAAACCTCAGGTGCTTCTCTTTTAAGAAAATGTTATAAATTTCACTGTGGAGGCTGTGTCCTCGGCGTTAATCTGCAGTCCTAAGAAGCTCGGTTGTCCAGCGTGCTTATCTCATTTCTTAGTAGGCTGCAAACAGAACCGATAAAGCAGGAGGCTGGTGAGTTGCTAACACATTGACAGTGGAGGAGCTGACCACTAGTGATGCAAGAGAGGATTTAAAAACTGGAAAACCACCAGCAGTACCAGTGATGACGTGTGGCTGCTGCCCACACTGGGAAGGGGCATTCAGGGTCACGAGCCAGGACCGTGAGCTCTGCAATGGGTTATGACCCTGAGGGAGCAGGAAGTCACAGGGAAGTTTGGTGAATTCTGTTTCAGATGATGAGCAAGGGTGACATCCCATTACTGGGACTCGATCTGAAAGGTTGTGACAAGGGGAAGGCCAGGCTTCACCCACTTGGAAAATTAGGTTTGACCTTTTCTTAATCAGGCAGCCAGTATTCCTCAGGCACCCGGCAGAGAGGGTTGGATAAGACCCTCTATGGGCCATCTGCAGGGGTGAGTTGTTTCTGTCACACCAACTACAGGCAGGGTGGCAGAGTCCACCCTGTCATTGAGGCAGGTGAGGGACAGGCAGAGGAGTGGACAACAGCCATGTCTGAGCCACAGGAGGGGTGCCCGATGCCCCAGGAAAGGCCCTCAGGGAGAAGGTGCCTCTGGCAGCCCCTCCTCCTCATAAACAGAAGGCTCTCATTGTCATGAGGGCGCTTGGCCTTGGCTTCCTTAGGTGGCTATCTTTTCATTTAGCCTTTGTTTAGCCATTTTAAAACTAGAACCAGTTACACAGATTTTATTAGGGGGAAAAATGCTGCCTGTCCCTTTTGATGGTGAGGATTTAAAAACACACTTGTTTGTGAAGAAGCAGGTAAGACAGTGATTACAGCCCAGGATGGCCTCTGCTAATTTGGGGGTGACTGCCCAGCTGCTGATTTCAAAGCCCAGTCAGCTTTAAGCCCTGGGGTTGCCCTGCGCCTAGCCGTATCTCCTAAGGACGGGCCAAGACAGAGCATGATGTTACACCTGGGCTCTCACCGTGGGGACCCGCAGCCAGCTGTGCATGTGTCCCCTCACTCAATGTGGTTGTCTGAGCCCAGAGCTCGGGCTGTTTTGTAACGTTACAGCCTTCCTCTCAAAGTGGAGGAGGCTTCTACTTGGCAACCCAAGAGATGAATGGCAGTGCTGACAGTCTGAAGTCAGCAAGACAAGTTCCACGGCATTCAGACCCTCAGTTTCCCCTGCCTGGAACAGTAGGCCTCACCCCAGAAGCACGCTTTGTCATCTGTCTGGTCCTTCCGGCAGCATCCCCTCAGCCAATCACCATAAGAAGGGACAGCTTATCCCCTACCCATCCCCCTTCTCTCCATCCCTCTCCCTTCATAACCTCCTGATGTCTTTTGCTTTAAAACCAATCTCAGGTTCTTAAGCAGACTGCCACCAGGTGGGCCCAGGTGTGTTTGCAAACTTAGTTTGAACGTGTGGTACCTGCAAGGCGCGAGGCCGAATGTGAGAAGCAGGTAACTGGCCCAGCTGCCTGGGAAGTGGGCCCCATCATGACAGACAGACATCTCCCTGGAGCCTGGGTCTGCCCTCAGGACTGCCAGGACCAGCTGCACGTGTTGTACACCACAAACTCTAGTGACTGTTTACACAGCTGATGAAAGTGTCCCTGGAGTTGTGTGATGCTCAGTCCTGAGGTGTGTGCTCATCCACCTGGGATGTGTGGTCCACCCAGTTGTAGTGCCAAGGAGTAGGGAGGCTGAGTTCATAATGGAGGCCTGGTAACCACCTAGACTGTGCTAACCAGAAGAGGAGTCCAGGGCCACCAGGCCTGGGAGGCAAGGGGGTCTGGGCCAGGTGTTAGGGCCCAAGGCATGAGCCTGAGGCCTCCCGGGTCCCATGCTAATCACTGCATGAGTGAATAGACAGGCCCACCCACAGGCACCACTGAGGAGGAGAGGTCCTCACTGGGACTTGCTCAGGACCTGTGAGAGCCTAGGGATGTCCTTGCTCCACTCTGAGTTTCTGAACCTGACTCTTCTCAACACCTGTGGGGAGTGAGGGGTGGGGAGTCCAACCAGCCCTGAAAGCCAGCACTCCACTGGGGTGATGCCCAGAATCCTCCAGTGCTAGACTATTACTTTCCTTTCCAGATGGGGACACAAGCCCAGTGAAAACCATGCACTTGCCCAGAGTCACACAGCAAAGTAGAGCAGAGCCGGGCTTGGTTCCCTTTCTGCTGAGCCCTTAGAACCTGCAGAGAGAGGCTGGGTGGGGTGGGGTCAGCCTCTGCAACTACCGAGCTCTGGTCCTCTGACTCCAATGGGGAGGCACAGCCACCAGGGCCAGCTTGGGGCCAAGACGTGTGTCTGCTATGTTCTAACAGTTGTTTCCCCTCCCCACCAGCTCCCTGACTGACAGGCACACGCTCTCCAAAGAGTCCATAAGCCATGCACTTGACCTCTTGTCCCCAGAGAAGGCAAAGGATGCTCAGTCCAGCTCTCCAGGTAAGCCAGCTGGGAGCCTGGGTGGGGCCCGCCAGAGTGGAGAACCAGGCTGTGCTGGGCAAGCTGGGGGCGCTGAGGGTAGGCCAAGAGTCCAGGCAGAAGCACGCGGGAGCAACAGGACAGAACTTGGGGGACAGGGCAGGTGGAATTCCCATCACACCCCTTCCATCATGACCTCTATCAGCGTCCAGCGTGATGGAAGGTGGTGGGGGAAGATACTTTCTTCTAGAAGTTCAGGAAGGGGAGAGGCAGAGATAGTGGGCAGCTGAGGCCTCCTCAGAGCCGGTATCTCTGCTGGGGTGGGTCTGCTGAGGACAGGAGGAGGCACAGAAGAGCACAGCCTTGGCATTGCCATCCGAGCACAGTGGGGCTGGTAGAGTTTGCTTTGGAGGCTTACACAGTCACATGCTCTTTTCACTACCTTTGCTGTCAGATAATTGCACCTTACTCATTTTTATTGGCTGTACAATGATATTGTAGCAACAGCACAAGTTTAGATAAATGGGAATGGTGCCGGCATAGAGGGTCACTGCCTCTGCTCTCCGTGCTGTCCTTGGCACAGAACGTTGTTGCCGTCTGGTCACCGGCCTGTACCTGTCAGGGATGAAGAGCTTCCCCCAGGTGCCAGTTTTCCAGGCTGTGAATTCTCCCAACTTCAGGCTGCTCAGAGAAGCAGTTTAGTCACCTGAAGCCACCCCACTCCCTCGGGTGTTTGGTGGGAGCTGGTTGGGGATGGGAGCTGACTGTCTGGGGCAGTGTTTGTTTGAACTGATCATGTACGTTGTAAAATGTCTTGCAATTTGGGTGCCCCTGGCATCTCCTCATGGTTAGACAGGGGTTTGGGTCTGGGACGTGGGTGGTGGCATTTGAAGTGGTACTAACTGGGAGGCCAGTGCCAAGGGTCTCTGAATGAGGCAGTGATGAGGCCAGAACCAGAGATGGAGGAAGGGGCGGAGGTCTGGGGCCGTGTTCTGAGGCCTCTTCCTTCAGAGCCAAGAGGGCAGGCCTGGCCTAGGGGGCAGGGACAGAGTCAGGACGTTGTGCTCTGTCACAGGCATTGTCCGGCTAGAGGGTGGTAACAGGGCACCGGCCACCCTGCCCATTGTCAGTGAGGAACCTAGGCGTGAAGAGGTGGAAGGGAGTGACACCAGGCCATCTGGCTCTGGGGTGCAACTGCAGTGAGACCCAGAGTCAGCACAGACTGAGTGCCTGCCTTGCACCAGCCTGGTGCTGGGACCCAGAATCCTTTATCTGCATGACTCCCCAGCAGCTTCAAGGCTGCTCCAGGCTCTGGGTCTGGGAGGAGACTGGAGCAGGCACAGCTGGGGAGGGATCTTGAAGCTGCCCTTTCACAGAGCATTTTCTGTAAGAGTGAGGAAAGGCAACTGTCTATAGCAGAGGCTGCTGGGAGGGGAATTGGGGATTATGAGAAGGGTAAGTCCTCCTTCCCCTCAAACTGTCCTTTCATAATAAGAGCACTTGCTGTGTGCCACAATCTTAAGGGGCTGACTTGCATTCTTTTTTTTTTTTCTTTTTTTTAAAATATATCTCTGTTGATTTCAGAGAGAGGAAGGGAGAGGGGGAGAGAGAGAGAAACATCACTGATGAGGAGTCATTGATCGGCTGCCTCCTGCATGCCCCCTGCTGGGGATCGAGGATCCTGTATCCTGTACCCCAGGCATGTGCCCTGACCGGGAATCGAACCACGATCTCCTGGATCCTAGGTCAATGCTCAACCGCTGAGCTGTGTCGGCCGGGCCTGCCTTGCACTCTTTCATTTTATCTTCATAGCAGCAGTGGGGTAGGCTCTTTGTTGTTCTCCTTTGATTGAGGAACCAGCTCAGAGAAGTTCAGTGCTTTTCTCAGAGGCACATATCTCGTGCAAGGTGATCTCCTAACTGGCCATACTGCCTCTGTGGAACCTAGATAGCATAGAGCACAGAGGGGTCCCGTCCAGGCTCTGCCTCCTACTCGCTGAGCTCTTGGAGCCTTGCCTTCATGAATCCGAATTCACCTAGGTCTCTGTGAGTTCCTAAGAAGCTTGAGGGTCCTCGATCTCTGGCCCCCAGGTAGCTTCACTCCCAGGGGGCAGCCCCACTGAGTCAGGCCACAGAGCTGCTGGAATCTGACCTCCACACAAAGGCATCCTTGTGTTGGCCCTAGAGACACATTTCTCTCTAGACCTCTCCAGGCTTCACATGAACCCCAGCTGGAACAGGGGATTCAGACTGAGCAGCTGCTGGGGCTGGGCCGGTGAGGGCTGGCAAGGGCCTTTCCCTATCCCCACTTTTCTCAATAATTCCCACACCCACTGGGAGCTCAGCCCAGCTTGGTCTCCAGCCCAGTGAGTATAAGGGGTATGCTGGGCCAGTCCCTGCCCCTCGCTTCTACCCTTCCCAAATGCTTCAAGGGCATGGTGGTGTTTGGCTGGAAGGAGACAAATACTCCACTTGTCCTCAGGGAGCTCACAGCCTGAGACTGGGGAGCAGGGAGAGGCCCCTGTCACTTTAGCCTTTGGTCATCCTGGCCCCACCAGCCCCAGAAAGTGGAGTCTCTGGGGATCCTGGTAGAAACCTTTTCCTAATCAAAATGTCCAGTTCTGTCAAGTGACAAGTTCTGGGCTTGGTCCAGGCCCAGAGCTGCCCATGTCTGTCCCCAGGGTGCTGAGCAGGTCTGTGTACAGGGGAGGGGTCAGGAGGCAGGGCTCATGGCCATAATAACATGGGTACAGACTCTGGCAGCTGGGGTGCAGCTCCAGGGGGCCCTGAGGAGGTACAGGCCATGGGAGCAGAACTCAGTGAGTTCCCCTGGGGCCTAGAGGAGGGGCACCTCTATTGAGGTGCCCCACAGGGACCAAGACTTTCAGACACTGCTTGGGTGTCCCTACCTGGCTCTCCCCCCAAGGGGCCCTGCCTGTATGAGGCAGGTGTGAGGCACACGTGCCCTCAGGCTCCAGGCTGGGACACTCAAATTCCTCTCCCAGACCTCTGTCCACTCCAGTGGGTAGACCCCTAGCTCAGGGTCCCACAGGGGCAGGTAAAGCCCAGCTCAGTCCTCACCACCACCACCACCACCACCACCACCACCACCACCACCTTGGTCCAAGCCTGGACAAGAGCAATCCTGGGGGTTAGGACAAAAAAGCTAAAACAGTGACCCTGCAGGAGCACATGGAAACTGTCTTGTCCATCTCTCCATCCCAGTCTAAGTCAAATGGGGAAACTGATGCCGGAGAGGGCAGGTCTACTCCCAGGGTTACCCTGCTTAATGGCCAGAACTCAGAGTTCCTGACCCTCGGGTGAGAAGGCTGGGGAGGGCCAGCAGCTGGAGGGGTCTCTCCCCTCGACTGCCAGGAGGCTGCAGGCACAAAAACCGGAATCACAGCCTTTCAGCTGGTACATTTGGTGCCACTTTGCCAAGGTCTAGACAAAGTGTTCTGGCCTAGGCTGGCCTTGTCCTTGTCTCTCCTGTGCTGAGGGCACTGTGGCTTCTTCCTCTTACATTCCCAGAAGAGACTGGCCTGGGACCAAGCTGGTTCCAGGGGCTCTCTCCACATAGGGACCCTCCTGGTACTTGTCCCAGACTAGCCTTTGCAATAGGGGTCCAGGGTCCTAAAGGAGTGTTCTCAGAGAGACATCTGTCCCAGTCCTGAGAGTCACCTTTGCCCAGGACCAGAGAGTCCTCTGTTCTGTACATTGAGTGGAGCTTACGCCTTTCCCACAGGATATAGCAAGCACCCGAGCTTCCCTCTGCTCCCTCCCAGCTAATCATGAGTGACTTCCTCTGTTGCTTAGCTGCTTTTATTCTAGAGCCCCAAAGAACACAGCTGCCTGCCTGCCCTGGCACCTCAGCATAATGGGCAATTGATAAAATACAGGCCTGGGTCAGGCCAAGACTGATAGCAACATGAGAAAGAGAAAGAGGGGAGAGGGAGGGGGAGAAAGTACACACTGCACCTTGGGAAAGCCCTCCCACCCCACTTCCCTTCTTGCAGCTCCCACACCCAGGGGTGGGCTCAGCCACTGGCACCAGAGGCTGAGGCCCCTGAGCACTGGGCTGTAGTGGACTCATGCTAGAAGGACACTGAGCAGGGCACGGCCTCACCACACCCTGCCTGGGGCTCTTGGGCATGCAGGACGTGGTTCAGCCTGGCCTGGCCCACTTGGGTAGCAACGTGGGTGTGTTGGAGGGAGATGAAGGCCTGGGTCCCTGGACACACATAGTTATTCGGTCTAGCTCTCCTGGGATTGGGATGGGACAGAGGCTAACTTGTCCTCCCCAAAGGCCCCCGACCTCTGATCTGGGCCGAGCTCTGCATTCAGGACCCAGGGAGCCATTGACCCTGCATTCAAGGGCCTGCAGCCTGATAGGAGTTGGATAACAGGACAGAGGAAATTAGATGAAGGAACTCTGTCCAAATTGTCTATCAGAGTTGTAAATGGTGTTTTTTCTGATTCAGTAAGCCCACTTGGAGAAATTTATTCTTTTGGGAAGCCTGGGACATGGGTTGAGAGCTGGAATCATGGGAGTGTCATTGGGGAAGTATTGAGTACACTGTGATGTAGGCAAACAATGGAGTCTTATGTCTCCCATCCCCACCACACATACACAGTGAGATTCCTGCCACAGAAGCTGAAGATGAGTGATTTCACTCATGGCTGTGTTTGACTTGGTCCACATAATGTTTTTTTTAAGTCTGAGCCAGCATTTAAAAATCAGATGAGCCCGGCCGGCGTGGCTCAGCAGTTGAGCATCAACCTAGGACCTAGGAGATAGCGGTTGGATTCCCAGTCACGGCACATGCCCAGGTTTCAGGCTCAATCCCCAGTCAGGGGCATGCAGGAAGCAGCCGATCACTGACTCTCTCATCATTGATGTTTCTATCTCTCTCTCCCTCTCCCTTCCTCTCTTTGAAATCAATAAAGATATATATATATTTTAAATCAGGTGATTACACATAAACACCCAGATTGCAAGTAACTCTTGTTTCCTTTCTGACTGGGCACCAGGTCCTAGTGCAGCAGCTGCCCCCGTGGACAAGGCAAGTGCTGTCCTTGCCTACTGTCTCCACCACTCCCTGCTGTCTCCCTGGCACTTGCTGGGGCCGGCATGATTACCACTGCCCTGCATGGTGGCTTCCCTTAGTGAGAGCCCACACCATTCCTTGTCTTTATCAGAAGCAGAGAAACAAAAGATGTGTCTCAAGGAACCCCAGAGCGAGCCCGAGGCCTGTGCAGCTGAGTTTCACACACAGGTCCTGGGCCACTTACTCTTCCATTATTGATTGTTATACATTATTTATTACAATGTGGATATATTACCCACCTGGCCCCTGAGGGCATTTTGGGTTTGCTACCCTCAGTTAATACATTAGTAATGGGATCCTCTTTTCCCCCTTTGGATAAAAAAATTCCAGCAACAAAATAAAACCTAACTCCTTGTATGTGTATTTCTGTCAGCATGACATACACCCACCAGTGTCAGTTTGGTGACCTGGAGAGGTAGGGTTCAGGAGGGCCTATCCCTTTTTATGTCATATTTTTTCAGTTGCTTTGGATTTCTTAGAACAAGTATATACTGTTTGTGATTAAAAAAAAAAAAAGGTCATTGTGAAAACCTTGTGGCTGAGAAGAGGTTTAGTAATATATCTTAGAACTTACCCCTGATCTTAGGAACTGCTGAATGGTAAAGGTTCACCTCCCTCCAATTGCTTCCTCTCCTCTTCCTTGCCCATCCTTCAAGGCTGTCAGACCTCCTCCAGGCAGCCTCCCACCCATCCCAGCCCCTGGCTTGTCTGCCAGCCCCTATGGGTAGTGCCTAAGGCATTGTTGGGACCAAAGGGCAGGCAGCTCTGCCCAGGGGAGGACCAGGGGTGGCTGGGAACAGCCCTGGGCCAGGGCGACGCCAGCTGTGCTCTCCCCACCCTGCAGAGCAGGCACTGTGGACGACTCAGGCCGATGGGCGGGTCGGCCTGCGCATCGACCCCAGCTGCCCGCAGCACCCGCCTCATACCGTGCATCGGATGTTCTACGAGGGCCTAGACAAGTACCGGCACCTCCACGCTCTGGGCTTCAAGCGCCAGGGCTCCTGGGAGCACATCACCTACTCCCAATACTACCTGCTCGCCCGCAAGGCTGCCAAGGGCTTCCTGAAGGTGAGGGGCCCTCGAGGCCAGCCCTCCCCTCCCCAGGCCCTCCTGTGAGCAAGTGCTGGGCCCTCACAGGCCTCCTCCTCACTCACTGTAGCACCACCAGACCCGCAAGGAAGGTTCACATGTACTGAACCCTCACAGGTGCCAGGCACCTGATAGGAGCTTTGCATTTGTGGTCACATTCATATCAGGGTGGGCTGGGAGCCGGGTGCTGGGCTGAGGGGCCAACTCCTGGGAAGGCCCAACTCCTGGGAAGGCCCTGGGAGGGGTAGCAAGGGCTGCTAGATGATAGACCCCCACGGCTTTCTTGGATTGAGTGGACCCTGGGATGGGGTTCCGAGGTCTAGAAGGGAGGCTTGATGGGAATGGGAGGCCCCTTCCCTGTTGGCTGACCTGGCCTGTCTGTCCTGGCTGGAGCTCGGTCTGGAGCGAGCACACAGCGTGGCCATCCTCGGCTTCAACTCCCCAGAGTGGTTCTTCTCGGCAGTGGGCACAGTGTTTGCAGGGTGAGTGGTGGGATGGGGACAGAACCCCAGGGGATGGAGGTGGGCAGAGGGTGAAGGTCGTTATTTCTTTTTAGAGGCCCCCATCCCTTCCCAACATCCCATCTCTCCCTGGGCCCCCTCTGCCTGGGGTGGCTGTGCTGAGCTGCTGTGGGAGCCCTACCTGTCCGGGCATGGGAGCTCTCTGGCACCAGGGTCTTGGCCGTGGGGTGGCCATCTGTGCCTGCCCAGACATAGGCCTCCTGTCCCCTGCAGAGGCATCGTCACTGGCATCTATACAACCAGTTCTCCTGAGGCCTGCCAGTACATTGCCCATGACTGCCGTGCCAACATCATCGTGGTTGACACACAGAAGCAGCTGGAGAAGATCCTAAAGGTTTGGGAGAAGGGTCTGGCATGGGGGTTAAGACTGGGGGGGGTACTCAGGGACCTCCAGCTTGCAAAGGAATTTCCACCCCCTTTGCAGAGTCCCCTTCATCCTCAATAACCCCCATGCACTTACAGACCCATTTGCCAAGTCAGAACACTGGGACATGCCCCACTTCACCCAAGAAGTGGGTGACAGGGCCTGGGCTAGAACTCTCAGCCAGCCAGCTTCCTCCTGTGACTTTTTCAGGGCAGGGTCCCCATTGTGGGGCTGGGGTCCTGTGCCAGGGGAAGGGTCTTTTGATAGGCACGGTGGACCTGCTTTTTTTACTGTTAAGGGTTTATCAAATGGGCTTACTGAACCAGCGAGGGGGCTGTCTTCCTGCTTGGGAGTCCTTCCTGCTTGGCCCATCTCCGCCCATTCTGAACCCTGTGTTTTCAGGACCTCCCATTCTGAGTGTCAGTCTGTCTGACTTGAATCAGTGCTTGAGATCGGGAGAGGAGATAGGAATGTGGATGATTTTGCCCAGAATGAACTGCTCTGGGAGCCCCCATTCTTACCCTCCCCATCTGAAACCCCAGGCCCTTCACGAAACAGACGAGAGACAAATATTCAGAGGGTAGTGGCAGGTAACTGACCTGCCAGGCACCCTAGATCTCAGTGGGGCCCCGATTTCCTCAGGAGTCGCGGCTTCCTAGCCCCAGAGGCCCCAGCCAAGAGGCGACCCCCCCCCCCTCACATGGTGCTCCCATCAGATCCGGGTCGGGGGCTGCTTATCATCCAGATTTAATAATCATCTGTGATATTTCATCACACTCATCACCTGTTCACCTTCTCTGCTGAAATATTTGCATGCAAATCTCTGGCATTGTCCTTTCTACCCCTGAAAATTTCAATGTGCATCTCTGAAAAAAGGACACTTCTCTTAAATAATCACAGTTATTTTGTCATATCTAAACAAGTAACACAGTTCTTTCACATGTGGGTAGTGTCTCTTCATGGTCAGTTTGCTTGAATCAGGATCTAAACCCCACTCCAGATACTGCATGTGACAGTGTCTCCTAAGTGTCTGCATTCAGATAAAAGTTCCACTTTTTGTTCCTCAAGCCACAGACCCATGTGGTCCCAACCATCAGTGTTAGTATTACCAGGGAGCTGGTTAGAAATGCAGATCCTCAGGCCCCACCCCAGACCCCACTTCCTCAGAAACTCAGGGTGTGGGCCCAGCATGCTGCATTCAACACACTCCTGGTGGCTCTGACATGGCTCAAGTGTGAGTCTCCGGAATCTGGGTCATCCTCCAGAACGGCCTCCCACACCTGGATTTGTCTACGGGCTTGTTCATGTTAGGTCATGTGCTTCATACATTTCAGAATAAACATTTTTGGTCAAGAACAACTGGTAGGTAACCCTTTATATTGCACTACCTCACTGGGCAAGACCACCTGTGGAGATGCTGAAGTTTATCTGTGGGTTTAGGTGGCCATGTGCTCGTCCATCAACCTTTCTCCATTCATTATCTTTGCCTGAATTATTTCATGAGCGATGGCAAAATGTTGGCTTTCACATCATCAGCTAGGATTCTTCTCTAAAGGAAGAACTTCCTTTTCTCTCATCACCTGGGGCTCTGCTACCTGAAACGCCCTTTGGTACAGAGCAGGTGGGTGTGGCCGTCAGAATAATGGTGCACAGGAAGAGCTTGTTTTATCCGTGCCTCACCATGGTTGCATTTTTTACAAACTGAAAGCAAGACCTTCCACCAGCAAAAAGATTACAACTCACTTGATTGCGGTAGTCTGGAACCAGACCTACAGTGTCTCAGAGGCTGGCCTGCATCTCAGTGAACGCCCGTGCACACTAAAGAATATGCTTTCTGCTGATGTGGGCTAGAATGTTCTATAAATGTTGATGTCAAGAAGGTTGATAGTGTTATAATGTCATCTATATACCTATTGAATTTCTGTCTACCTTGGCTTTCCTGAACTCAGATCTCTGTCACCTCAAGTCAGTGAGAAACCTGAGTTCTGTTTTCTTTCCTCCATCCCTCTCTGCCTCTGTTCTGCCGGCACAGCTCTCCATTGTGGGAGAGTCCTTCACAGTTTGTGAACTGCTCCAGGCTGCTTGGCTGTCCTCTAACAGGGAGTCATTACCAGCCCCAACCCCAATCCCTACCTGTCCCACTCTACTAAAGTCCTTATGATGGGGAAACTGCCTGAAGGCCAGTGTCTTGCTGGGTCAAAGGTCAGAGCTGGGGATCCCAGTGACCTTTCCCAAAGTGTCTTCCAGGCAGACTGACACCTAGAGATGGTGCTCTTCTCAGGAGGTAACTTTGTTTTCTTTTTTTTTTAATGAGACTTCATTTACTTTTCCTGTCAACACAGATCTGGAAAAACCTGCCCCATCTGAAGGCAGTAGTGATGTATCGAGAACCTCCTGCAGAGAAGATAGCCAACGTGCACACGGTACAGGCAGAGGGCCTGGGTATCTGGTGGGACCTGTCTGGGCCGCCCAACTGACCTGGATGGTCTGCTCTTTCCCTCCGGCCACAGATGGAGGAACTCATGGAGTTGGGGGACCAGGTGCCCGAGGAGGACCTGGACACCATCATTGATGTCCAGCAACCCAACCAGTGCTGTGTGCTGGTCTATACATCTGGCACCACTGGCAACCCCAAGGGCGTGATGCTGAGTCACGACAATGTAGGACCAGTGCCCCGTTATGGGTGGGCTGGGTGGCAGGTGGATCTGGGCAGTGGCCTCAGCAGCCCCTGGGGAGTCTTCTCTGGCCCTTCACTCAGGGATACATGGGATAGACTGAACCTA